TTCAGAATAAAATAAAGTCAATGCCATGACCTTCTTGAACAGCAGATTGTCTATACATTAGCTTGAATCTAGTATTGAACAAGCCTCTTTTGATGGCTACAAACAAGAGTCAAAGTAAAAAACAACTATTGTAAATCCAGGTCTACATTGACATTAGAATGAACTGTACAAAGTCTTTTACGAATTTCCAGGGTCGTGTTCCACTTTCAGATAATGAAGATATAGTAGGTAATTACGACATACGATACAATCTCAACAAAGGAGTTAATTTATGTAGTCCAAGCATTCAACTACATCCGCACAATTCAGTATCTTCATTAGTGGAAATTGTGACAATATTTTGAAAATTCAAAAACGAGCATCTAGTCAAAAAAAAATATTTCTCTTTTTGATCGTATGGCCCTTCTACAGACACATTTGATAAGAAATCGAACAGAATATATTTAGAATAAGAATATTTCGAAGCCAAAGACCAAACCTATGAGAAAATAATTCCTAACAGCTCCTTCCTACTCACTGAGACACTTCTCAACAACTAGTAGTAGAGCACAGTGTATCTCTTCTGTTTCCAACCTCATTTTTCTGTTTCAATCTTCAACGAATCGACTTCCTTCATCAAGATAATGACTTATTTACAATATATGTTTTTGAGTGAATAGTAGATCGTTTGACTTAAATCTAGTTCATTTTTGACCATGAATTATATTCGATGATTTTCGCTTTGTGCCATCGCGAAATTCCATAATAGCAAGAGTATAAAAAGCATTATGGTGGCTAAAACGGTTCTTTTATTTATGATTGATAGTTAGCCTATTACAATAAGATGAGTTTTTCTGTCTATCTAAATCAATTAAAAGTTTTCAAGACAACTAGATTGCTAATTGAAAAAAGTATTCTAATGTTATTTTGTGAGATGAACGACTTTGTTGTTGTCATCCACATGAACAATGAGGAATTTTGGATTTTTGCCGTCGTCGTGGCACATGCTTCTCATTCCTGGTGAAAGCAATCGTGGTTCCATGCCTAAACAGAAATTATAGAAAATCTTAGATATGTTTGAAAAGGTGATATTCTCACCTTCGTCTTTAAGAATTTCAACAGCCTTATTGCCATCTTCGCCCATAAGATATGGCCAGCGAGTTTCAGTTGCCATGCAAATAAATTAGGTTTTGTAGATAGAATGAGTATTCAAAGAGGAACACAATATGTGTAGAATAAAACAAATAGTCAGATACCAGTGTATTTATTTATTCGACTCATGTGAGATGGAGAGAGACGGATAAAAATATATTCGATCAGTAGGAGGCAAAGGTAGTAGAAAACAAAAAGAAGAAAGAAGTCTATGAAAAAAAATATCTAAACTACTATCGTTGACTCTTTGTAATCTGCTCAGGTGAGGGAAAGGAAAAAATTTATTCAATCAATGAAAAGCACAGAGCAATACAAAAGGGAAGAGAACGAGTCCCTAAAAATAATAAATATTCGACTATTATTACTTTTATTTATTTGACATACGCAAACGAGGGAGAAAATTTTTAATACAGGATTTGTGAAAGCACCTACTCCAAGTTATGACCTAGAAAATTATTAAACTTATATATTTCATCTATGCTATTGAAATATGGATAACTTGATGAGAAAAAAAATTCATGTTTTTTTTATTACCAAATCATCGATTGTTCTTATTAAATCAATTTTGAACTTATATACTATATAGTTGACTTTTCGCTTTGACCATCAGACATGAATTTTACACCTTTTCTCACGCAATCATCTTTCATATTTCAGTTTCTTACGGTATTTGAAAAAACTGCTAGTTCCGAACATTACAGATAATCAAATAAAGTTTCTCTAAGTAACGAAAGCAGATCAGTGAATGATGATAACTTCCATTTTTCTTTTTTCTCGCTGAGACTCGATGTCCGTACACGAGAGGTAGTTCAATAGTTACCTTCATGCGCGATAAGAGAAGAAAAACAAAATAACATGGTGATTCGATTGTTTGCATAAATTAATACAACAACCATAGTACTGAAACTTTTATGTTGACTAGTGGCATCTTTATTTATATTGGTGGCTTCGATTCGAATAAAATATTCAATAGTAATGTATGTTTACCTTTAGTTGTATAAGTACGTCAGGATGAAGTTGCTGAATTAGTGATTGAAGGAGAGAATATGTAAAAAAACAAAATAAAAAACGTAAAAAAATATCGACTATTGATAACAACCATTTTATTTACTGTACATTGAATAAATTGTTTTGAAATTCAAGGTCTATTGGTTTTGTAGTCACTTGACAAAAAGATCTGAATTAAACAATGAATAATTTCGTTCAATTATATACGAATCGCATTCATTTGAACGATATATAGCTTCATCTGGAAAAATAAACGGAATTTCCAGGTAAGATAGATGGAAATACGTGATTTTATTTTTTTTTTAAGTAATCCAATATACAGAAAATATGCAGCAAGAGCAAAGCAACAATATACGTGTATTTTATTCTAATGAGAAACTTTTTTATGTTGAATTATTCACTAACACCTCTTACAAAAAGAATCAAATAGCTTTTATTTTTACTGCTTTTTTTCTCAACTTGAACTTTCAGAGCTTATTATTTTACCGACATATTATCTGTCGGTTCTTCTGCAAAATAGTATATTTAAGATGAATCTACGATTAAAAACGTTGTCTAAGTTTAAGAAACAAAACAATGTCTCAAAGATATATAAAAATCTGATTCTTCTGTTTTGGTCTATTCTTCATTGAGTATTGCTCACTTTACAAAGAACTCGAAAATATAAGTTGACATTGCTGAGAAAACAGGCATAGGGATATTGCAAAAATATTAATAAAAATAACAAAAAAAAAATAATCATAATAAAACCACGTGTTAGTAAATAGCTAGAGAATTTTAAAACCTAGAGTTTGACTTAGTTTCTCTGAATATAGTACAAACTTAACTTCATAATAATGACATTTTATCATATTACATTTTTTTTTTGAATTTTTAGAATATTTTCATGTTTGTTCAACAAATTTTAAGTACATCCAAGAAATCAAATATAAATGACTAGCATAAGCATTGTATCGTTTAAAATACAAATCGGCAAAAGTAATTTTTTCAACGAGGAAAAACTAAATGGTATGTTTGATTCAGTTATGCCAACTGTCTATGAAAATACTATTTTCTTCAATACTTGTTCGGATGATAACAATTTTTGTATTTAGATTGACTTCTTGATTAGAGAAAAATTTTACGATCACATATCTATCCATATTTTGTTCTACATATGTGTTCGGGTCTTAGATAAACAGTGATGACACGCTTCAGTTATTAACGTTAATAGCTGCTGATAAGTTGACTTTATCATTAAAAGAATACTTCACAAAATTATTGCAACAATAAAGAATTTCTAGCTCTCGATACCGGTTATAAGATGACTATCGAAGTAACCAAAGATTCCACAGGAGTTGAGATCTTCTAACAAAACATTTATTTTAGTATATGAAATTGTTATGTGGATAAATTTTACTAGAAAAATGCGTTGAAAAAATGTTTTACTACCGTTTTTATTATACAAAAATAATATGCTCAATTTTTCTAATAAAATAAAATTCTTTTTCGAGAGAAAGAAAAAACTTTTTGCTTGACTTTTTATAATATTATTCCATTATTTGAGCATGAAAAACAGTCGATTTACTGTGTGAAATTATTTAATTTTCATTGATTATAACTAAAATAAAATTAATAATTTCGTTCCATATTCCATATGAAAATTTTATTTTTTAAATTTTGTGTGTACTTTTATTAATGACAAAGTTTAGAAAAAACTTCTGATACTTTTCAAATCATTTTCTCCCATTTCTTTCTCTAACCTGATCAAACTTTTTAAAATTCTGAGACTAAAACAGATAGAAAATTGATTTTCTTAGACATAAATAACTATTTGTATATTAATAAAACATAAAAAGAATGATCAACACTCATATTCCTTTAAAATCAAGATTTCGAAGTTGAAACACTCAGAATGTTTCAGTGGATCTACAAGTTTCAAAAACATTCTAAAAAATAAAAAAAAAGCAGCAATAGAATAAGCAAAAAACGGAATGCAGACATCTGTTTTATTCCTTTTCTATATCGACATGTCTGTCATAATCTATCACCAATCAGTCGCAAACTTTTAAGAACGAGTGTAAAGATACGAAAAAGAAAAAAAGAAAAAAAAGAAACGGTTGTTTTTTCTTTCATAAGCGAGAATCACGATTGTAAGCAAATAGCGATCACTTTTTTCTGTTCTACGCGTTTACACGCATTTTCGACTCACTTGACTATTTTTATCACCGAAGCAAAATATTTTATAACTCTTGTCATTGAAAATCTATAATCGAAATTCAAAATTCGACCGCATATTGTAAAAGAAAGCATCCAAACACAAAATATCAAAGTATTAAGCTTGATTGAGTGCTTAGAAAATTAAATGCATGAAAATTCTCGCTTTCACACTGTTTTCTCGGTTGATTCTGTAAATTCTGCGAACGGTTAGAAAAATCCCGATACGACTGCTGTTTTTTCAGAGATCTTTCAATTTTCTAGTTATATACAATAGAACCTAATATCAATTATGTTTCAGAAATAACCGAAAACTTGATAAGAAACAAAAACCTATAAGGTAAAATTAGAAGAAAAATGAGGAAAAGCTTATTTATCGCGAAACGATATAGACAGAGGTTTTAAACATGAATAAATTATTTACAGCTTCTAGAACCTAACCTTTCAGTCTCGTGACTATAATTAAGAATGATTTGGTACTTTAATTCTTCACATTTTCTATGGAAACCTTCACATCATGTTCTTCTTCTTTGTATTTTAGATTTTTCGTGTAAATTCGATTAAACGAAATTTTACTCCGTTTTTCTGACATCCAGAACAAGTTTCTATTCTTTCGATAATAATCAGCGTACCAAAAGAGTATTCTCTCATTTCGGTAAAAAACAATGACAGAGCAAGTGCAACTTTCGACTGTCGGCAGTGCAGTCAATAAGTCTATTGAATCTTCATTTCCACCGACATCATCGTTGACTAATCGTATATTTGCTCCACTTAACACACCATGGCATCGTCGCTGTCAAACGTTAAGTGTTCTCGTATGGTTGTTAATGCCATGGTTTTGTTTATATTTAACATTATGTTTTCTTCGTGCTGATTGTTGGTGTCTAACTGGATGCTTTCTTCTCTATCTCGGATGGATGTTCTTGTTTCGAAAGTATCCTAAGGAAGGTGGTCATAGACAACAATGGCTTCGTCGACTTGTTTGGTGGAAATGGTTTGCTGGTTCGTATAGAACTTAAAAACTTCTTTCTCATATTGAGTTTTACTCTCATTGTACTTTTAGACTATTTTCCGATTCGTTTACATAAAACATGTGATTTATCTCCTGATCGTTCTTATGTATTTGGCTACCATCCGCATGGAATTTTCTGTCTAGGAGCCTTTGGTAATTTTGCAACTGAAGCCACTGGTTTTGAAAATTTATTTCCCGGTATTAACCTTCGTTTTCTTGTTCTTAATTCTAATTTTCAAATACCATTTTATGAACTATTTTTAACAACGATGGGTATATGCGATGCGTCGAAAGAATCATGCAATTATATTTTAAAACAAGGTAAAGGCAATAGTATTATGTTAGTTATTGGTGGTTCTAAAGAGTCATTAGACGCACGTCCATCTTCGGAGTATTTTTTGACGCTTAAAAATCGTAAAGGTTTCGTTAAAATTGCTCTTGCAAATGGTTCAAGTTTAGTTCCTGTATTTTCATTTGGTGAAAATGATCTGTATGAACAAATCGCTAACCCACGTGGATCAAAATTACGATCACTACAAATGATTCTACAACAAAAGATGGGCTATGCATTGCCATTATTTCATGGGCGTGGCGTTTTTCAATATAAATTTGGACTTGTACCTAATCGACATCCGATTGATACATATGTAGGTGAACCAATTGAAGTACCAAAATTAGCTCCAGAACAAATCACACCTCAAATCCTTAATGAATATCATACGAAGTACTTGAATGGACTAACACATCTATTTAATATACATAAAGCAAAACATGATAATGCAAATGCATCACTCGTTTTCGTTGACGATCCCAATGTACGATAGACATAAAGTTTTTCTTTTTTTATTATCTTGAACAATTAATTTATAGTTTCCTATATGAATCTCTAGCTTTTTAGAAGAAGAATTTCATCTGTATCTGTAAATGACTTATAAGAAGAACAACTGTAAAATAGAAAAATAATTTCTTTTTATTTAAACAATTTTTATAAGAAAATCTATAGAATCTTTCATTTAGAGATTGTGCTGCATTCTTGAATTTTTAAGTCTTAAAACAGCATATTTTTATTTTTTGATAAAATATTAATTCATTTTCATAGAATATTTTATTCACATAAAATGTTTCATCAGCATATTAAATTCAAAGCATATTTATTCAATTTTCAAAAATTACAACAAGCAAAGGAAACAAGAGAAAGAGAAAGAAAAAAGAGCCGTGATGATGTATTCTCACAAGGCAAAAAAAGAACCTTCACAAGAATGTGAATGAAAGACAAACAATTCATTGATACTAGTCTTCATGGATTTTTATCGATGTGACTTCTGCGCGACATTGACATGATTTGAAAAGGCAGCTTTTAATCGTAGTTCACATATAGACAGAAGACTAAATGAATCAATCATTCAATTACAGAAACAGTTCAATACGACGATTGTTCCATAGTAACTATTTATTGTTCTCAATGATAACATCTTGATTTTCTAAATTCTTTTTTCTCACATATGTCAAGACGTAAAATCACGCTTACAAAAGACAATGTAATCAAAATATTGTACATGAATCAACTAATTATTTATTCACAAACTATTTGCTCTTCTAATAATTCCATCAATATCATCGAAGTCGATTGAATACGTATTCATTTTGCGCGACAAAAATTTATCGTTGTTAGCCAAAGTTTACTGGCACTTGCGTCTCTAATATGAAAAAAAATTCGATTAATTACAATTCTTACCATTTTGAGACAAAAATGATAGAAAATGCAAAATGCTTCGTCATGTTTGTTCAATATTTTGAATAAGGTAGCCGATCTCATTCTTTTTTCTTTCTCTTGACATTGAAACAACAGTGACGATGCATTTTCTTCCTCTGTTACATGCTCGACTCCTATGTTTACTGTAGTCAACCTTTAAATTTCTTTTACAATACAAATATCATACGATGACAAAGCAGAATTCATAGTAATGCATGATTACTTGCGCATCCATTTGCCTATATATATGTATATGTGAATTCATTTATTGGAACTTTAACTTCTGATCAATACATCGACTGGCTGCTTTGATAGTATTCAAATAACCACAACCATTGCATATTCCAGACATACATAAGTAATTATTGAGAAAAAAGTTAATTGAATTTACAAATCATGATTCTAGTAATCGAATCGTGAAAAAATGGGATCGAAAGGCGTAATTGTCGTGTATGGCATGACAGTGTCACCAGCTACTCAACGTGTATTAGCTACGCTCATCGAAAAAGGTCTCGACTATGAATTGAAAGTAGTTGATTTGATGAGTGGTGAGCATTTGGTAAGAAGTCTATTAGACGGATAAGTCCTATTTGAAACTATCTATTCCTTCTAAATAGGCTCCTGAGTATTTGCAAAAACAGCCATTCGGTACTATTCCTACACTTATCGATGCAGATGGCTTCAAAATTTACGGTTCGTTAAAAAAAGATGTTTCATATCGCTTGAATTCAAATGATTTTCATTATACAATATGTATATCTCATCGAAATACGTTTGTTTTTAATAGAATCACGAGCTATATGTCGTTATTTGGAAACAAAATATAAAGGACATGGCACGGAACTGGTTCCAAAAGATAACAAAGCTCTAGGTCTATTCGAACAAGGTGTCGCGATTGAATCATCGAATTTTGATTCATTAGCTAATCAAATCGCCAGCGAAAAAATCTTCAAAAGGTAGATCGATGTTTTTTCTTGACTTTTTTTTCTTTCACAATTGTTCTTCTTTCCATTGAATAGAATGCGCGGCGGCGAACCCGATATGGCCAAAGTAACACAACTTCGACGAGATTTGAGTGAGAATTTGGATGTTTACGAAAAAATTTTATCCAAACAGCCATATATAGGTGGACAGGTAGTACAAATACTATTGTTACTTCACTGTATGTAATAAAAAATTGATTTTATTTTCATTTATTAGACATTTACACTTGCCGATTTATTTCATTTACCGTGTGGTGTATTGCTTGTTAAAGCTGGCGAAAGTGATCTATTTGAATCTCGTCCACATGTTAAACAATGGTGGAACAAAATTTCCAGTCGACCTGCATGGAAATCAGTTGCGGCCATGATTTAAAATTTTAACAGAAAGAAAAGACATTTTTGTACGGTATTTGTCCATTTTCATGTGTGCTGTGCATTATTCGAATGTGCCCTTGAACTTTTTTGTTGAAATAATATTGCTGGAAAATGAAAATCTTCTGACGTGTTGCATTACGTACGGAAAAATATTCATGCTGTAAAAGAAGTCAATGTTTCTAGATGGATTTCTATGACAACAAGTGCTTGACATGGGGAAACTAGGGTGGTACCATGCATTTAATCGCATACACATCTGATTCCACATTTGTAAAGCATGCATAGAGAGAATGAAAAGAAATCATCGGTGTTTCATGGTATCATAGCTACTGTTTGGATACGATATTTTCAGTTCAATGAACAAATTCTTCAAAAAAAAAGAGTAATATATTACAAAGAAGATTACGAAATGATTTTCCACCTAGTTATGTGGAAATTATCTTCTTTGTCATAGTAATTCACGTTTGTCCCCTCATAATGAATGTAGACCGTGTCAACCGATTTTGCCGATTATTAATTCATCTGGATAGATTTGTGGTCAATCATAAAGTAACATTCGAGATACACTTGTATGCTTCTCCATGTGATACTGTCAAGAAGCGAATATATTAGTTTTTTTTAATCATGTCATAATGATAAAAGTGATAAGGTTCGTGGAGCGAGGTCGATTGAAATAGATTCATCGTGATTCATATTTTATTTCTGCAAATATATTGCAGTCAAAGTTTTTGAATAGTACAATATTTGTTTGAAATGCTATTTACCATTTTTTTCTTTGCGAGTGATAAAATTGATTGGATAGGTTCAATCATCAGTGATCGTCTTTTTCTTCTTTTCTTATACGAAACTATTTTGTTTCATTCAGAAAAATTCAATTAGTTCTTGAACAACAATGATTCATACTGAAGCAGTTGAAATGATAAATGAGCAATAACGAAGATTTTTGCTTCGATAGAGTATAAATGTATTGGTGCATGTTCAAATGTTTCTCTTTTGCAAATTACACTCACACTCAGCATTTATCATATGGAAAAGAGATTCATTGCCTTGAGAAAAATGCATTTTTCTATTTACTGTGTATTTTTTAAAAGAAGACATGTACTTGGTGAACAAATAAGTACTATTGAATTAAAATATGATTTCAACAGAGTGAAAAAAATATTGTAACTCCGAGAAATTTCTGTCATTTCAAGAAAGTCTGAATTATTTTATAAACATGAAGAAAGTAAGAAAAAAATCAATTTCATTGTTTTCAAAACATGACATCGCTAGTGAAAAGAATTGATTTTTCGAATGTTTCATTACAATCATTCACTACTATTGTCTGTTTCAAATCGTTGGCTACCTTTTAACAAATGTTGAATGTATGCATTTTCAGCATGTTTTTGCTTCTCTATACTTCATTATATACTACAGCGCCATCAGAAAGAGGACCCTTACGCATGGTCAATAGAACGTTCGTTTAAATAAAAACCAAATTTTGATTGCGCGAAATGTGAAGAATATAAACAAACCGAAATTACTCACTACCAAGGAAATTTTTCGTTTCTTCGAAACATACATTAGAATATACTATCAAAATAAGATTATATTATTCTCCATGGGTTGTGGATCATCAGTAGCCACTCAAGTGTCTACTAATTCTACAGCGTCTCAAGGCAACGCCAATAGCCAATCGGAGGAAATATCCAGTTCTTCATCACAAAAAGATGTAACCGAGAGAATAACAAGTGCATCATCAGGAACTAGCTCAGCAATTGTAAAATTATCCACTGGAGGAAAAAAATCTGCCAATTCATCAATGAATTCGCAGAATGATGTCAGCCAAAATTTGGTTATCATTTGGGTGGATCTCCATATGAATAATAATGAAAAAATCTATCAAGACTTGATCACTAAACTTCAACGCATTACTACTGCAATTTACACGTTTACTGATTCTGATCAATGTATTTATTGTCTTGATAATATCAACGAGAAGACAGTAGTTCTATTTGTTTCGGATAGAGTCGGTGAATAACGCATACCAATGGTTTTCAGTAAACCACAACTTGAATGTATTTATATATTTAATCCAGAAAAACAACTACGAATAAGTTGAGCTAATAAATGGGCAGAAAAAGTGAAAGGAATTTTTCATAATATGGAACAGATTTTTCAAGCAATTAAAGTCGATAGTGGTGAAATAGATAGTTTAACTCCGATTAGTATTCTACTGAAGAACGATATAGAAATAAAAAGCAATGAGTATAATGAACTGGACAAATCATTCATGTATACGCAATTACTTAAAGAAATTCTACTCGATATAGAACATGATTATACAGCAAAAAATACTGTGGTTGAATATTGTCGTCTTCAATATGCTGATAATGAATTTCAATTGAGTCTTATCGATGAATTTGATTTATAGTACAGTAATCAATTAGCAATTCAATGGTATACTAAAGAATCTTTTCTATATTCGATGATGAATCATGCTCTAAGATCGCAAGATATTAAAACTATTATGAAAATAGGATTTTTTGTGTGTGATCTTCATAAACAAATTGAAAAAAAAAATGTATAATGAACAAAAGTATCAACACAAAAAAAGTAATCGTATATTGTGGTCAAGCTATTTTATTAGATGAATTCGACAAATTCAAAAACAGTATTGGTGGTCTTCTTTCATTTAACAATTTTTTGTCAACTAGTGTTAATCTAAATGTTTCAGTACAATTTGCCATACGTGCAGCGGAGAATTCAAAAGTGAATGCCGTACTCTGTCAAATGACCATTGATCCAAAGAAATCATCGGTTCCATTTGCTTATTTAAAAGAAAATAGTTCTTACAAATATGAAAATGAAATTCTTTTCACTATGCATACAATTTTGTGTATGATGGATGTTCAACATATTCAAGACCAATATTGGCTTGTTAATTTAAATCTAACAAGTGGTAATGATCAAACACTCAAGATATTGACAGATCGTTTTAGAAAATGACTATGTGACTGCATTATCATACTACAAAAAAGCACTTGAAATTGAACAAAAATCTTTGTTTTCCGATCATCCTACATTATGGCTACTACTTACAATAACGATACTTGTAGATCTAGCTATAAGCCGCTACGGTAATATTGGTACAATACACAATTCAATGGGAGATTATACAGTTTCATTATCATTTTTTTAAAAATCACTCGATATTCGACAAAAATCTCTTTCAGAAAATCATATCAGTTTTGCAACTGTTTATGACAACCTTGGCTCGATCTATAAATCAATGAGTAATAAATCGACTGCACAATCTTATTATCAGAAAGCTTTTGATATTCGTAAAAATTCTCTTGGTGAGAATTATCCTGATATGGCTAATAGTTATAATAATCTTGGTACAATTCATGGTTCAATCGGAGACAAATCAAAAGCGCTTGTTTGTTATGAAAAGACACTTGCAATTTAGCAAAATTCGAAGTCAATTAAAGATCAATCCATTGCAACAACGGATTACAATATGGGCTTGATATATTATTGGGTGAAAAATTATTCGACAACTATTTTATTGTTCAAAAAAGCATTAGTCATATAAACAGAAGTTATTGCCATCGGATCATCAAGATCTGGCCAGCACTTATTACAACATTGGTCTTACATACCACGAAATGAAGAATTATCAAAATGGAATTTGATTTTATGGAAAAACATGCACAATTCGTGAAAAATATCTTTCTGATGAAGAATCTTCATTAGTAACGACTTACAACAACATGCCTGTTGCATATAATGTCATAAATGATCGAGTCAAGGCACTATTATTTTATCAAAAGACATTTTCTATTTGTGAAAAAAATTCTACTGCGAATGATTTATCATTAGCTAATGTCTATAGCAATATCGGATCAATTTATCGTTCAATGGAAAATTATTCGGACGCTATAAGTTATTATCGAAAAACAATGATAATTGAACAATGTAAATTATCAGAAAATGATTTTTCGTTATCAACTACATATAATAATATTGCTATTGCCTATAAATCTATGGGAGATAATCAAAATGCTCTTGAATTTTACGAAAAATCACTCAATATTTAGGAAACATTATCATCTCCTAATTACTCATCAATGTATGTGTTTCGTTTCAATACAGCAAGAATATATGAAGATCTTCAAAATTATGATGCAGCTATCAAACATGCCGAGCGTTCTCTCTTTCATGCTTGTTCGACTTTTGGTTCTGGAAATGAAAAAGTAAAAAATATTCAAAAATATGTTGACATGCTTCGTTCAAACTTATGATTGATTGACACTTTTTTCATACATGACATTCTTTGTCATTCGTAAATCTTAAAAAAGAAAGCAGCATTATTTAATAAAAGTTCATTTCTATTGAATTTCATTACATCACAATTCAAGTTCATATGAAAAGTCTATGAATATTCAAAAGAATAACTAAATATCAATCATGACAGCGGCAAGATGAAACATCTTTGAAACCAATAGTTGAAAACCAGAGACCAAGTCAAGGCGGAGCATCGAGTCGTGATTAAGATAAATTCTCAAAGTTTTCCCGTTCTAAAGTTTCATAATGTAAATATTCATATAGAAAAGATATATACTAGATAATCAACGCAAATGATTACCAGAAGTGCTCTTGTTTCGAAAAGTTTTATGTAGGCAAGTCGACAAATTCTAGATGTATGAAAATATATTGAAGAAAAAATTGTTGTAACTGAATAAAAGTCTCGTCTATCATGAGTATGGCTAAACAACAAAAAATATGACAACCATAAAAAGAGAATTATGATTCTCCTGCTATAAGATAGCTAATAGCAATATTCTTTGCATGATGTTCTTACTGGCATAATGGAACTACATACGACTTGATGTCAAGGATACTTCTTTGTTTGATAAATGTTTTTCTTTTAGGTTTTTTAGCATTTTCTAGATGTAAAGATATCACAAATAGATGCTAGAGAAAGAGTTCTATAGTAAATAATGTGCCAGTTGCGGTACAAAAGATAACAAACATGGTCGATTTTTATGCTAACATCTGTTAAATATACTCGGAGGATTTTCCTTCTGCTAATGGCAATTTTGACTATTGTTCTGATTTCATATGAGGCAAGTGAAGTTGAAACTTCATATTGTACATTTGTTGTCGACAAATCTATGAAATATTTTTTCAAGAGTAGATTTTTTGATTAACGAGACCTTTTTGACCTCTTGAAGCCTTTACTCATTAACAACTGTCAGTTGACTTTATGGAACTTTATCTTAAGTAATATTGTCATGAATATGTTTGCTTTTATATTAAATATTTTATAGAGAAGGAGCGAGGCCACGAAGAAAAAAAAATTAAGATCAGGAGTTTGCTGAGGGATGCAAAGTTCTTCCCTTTTTTTGGTCTCTAATAGAAAATATTAGAAGTCATTTAGTTTGGTAACGGAAGTTGTCTTGCATTTATTTGCATCAATATTCAGGCTCAACTATCTAAATATTACTTTCATAAAATGGTCTGATCACACCAAATTCTGTAAGACACCACTTGCCGACTGATTTACATGTTTCTTTTACTTCTATTTCAATATTCTATATGTCTCTACTTTACTTACACTATGACTCTTTGGTGGAAATAAAATCGATAAATTCTATCAAAACTGATTTACTAGTCTCAATTGTTTGAAAATTTGTTCATTTTGGCAATACGATAAACTATTCGCCCACAACTGTCTTTGTATAGTTTTCCAACAAAACTTTAACATGTTCTACTATTCAAGAATTTTCTAAGGGCATTTTACAACGTTTTTTCTCATATTAGCTTATACATATACGATGGAGTACTGCTCAACATCAATGTTGATTCTACTCTCTTTCATACTTCTGTTCACTCCAGCTCGATGCTTCTCTCTATCTTATATGGTATATAGATTCCATGAACTTATTATTAATACCAAAAGTAATTAGTGTACCAAGTTTGTTCGAGTTCATTTACCTTGCTCGACAACTTGATTTAATTTTATGAGGAAGAAAATGAGTACGAAATTATCTTATCAATACACATCTTATTCTACATTTCATGATGTCGAACATATGAACAATGAAGTGCGGCTAGTTAGATAATAGGTCGGGACAGACAAGGATCCATAATTCAATTAACTTAAACAAAAGATTTCCGATCATAGCATATTCAGAGAGAGCGAGAAAGAGAGACTGATAAGGAAATCGCCAGAAGTGATTCATCGCTTTTGATCTCGTATTTTGGACATATAGAGGAGACTTCTAGACTAGAATAACCCTAAAAGAATCCGGGCCCATAGGCCTCCTCTACAGAGTTATAGCCATTTTACTTTAATTTTAGCCTATGACACGATATGCACAAGCAAACAGATTGGCGTTATTTCGACCTGAAATTTTGTCCCCAGATAGATCTACTTGTAATTAGAGTTTCATGAAAATTTCAGCTCAAAAGAATATTTCCTTCACGAGATGTTGAATGTCGAAAACACATGAGATTCTCGCATCTTTTATGGGATCTGTGTGATTTTTGAAAATTCAACATCTCGCAAAGAAAGCATTCTTTTGAGCTGAAATTTTCACGATAGTCTAATTACAAGTAGATCTATCTGTGGACAAAATTTCAGGTCGAAATACCGTCAATCTCTTTGTTTGTGCAAACCGTGACATAGGCTAAAACTAAAGTAAAATGGCTACAACTTTGTAGAGGAGGCCTATAGACCCGAATTCTTTTTAGGGTTATTCTAGTCTATAGGTTTCATCTATATGCCCAAAATATGAGCTCAAAAGCGGTGAATCACTTCGGACAGTTCTCTCAAGAGTGGTAGTTAGTATTTTATTCCATGACAACTAAGCGGAGTACAATAAAATAGTTAAGATAATCTTGAAAGAGTTAATAAATTATACAGGAAGGCTACATGAGTACTGCATTTTTAAAAACAAATCATTTAAATGCATAATTATATAGTTACGATCATGTTAGACAACAAATATAAATTTTAAAATGTAAACTCAAACAACAATTATATACAAAGTTTCAATTTGACGTTCTTATTAAAATCTTCACATAATGTAAGAACTAAAATTCTTTTCAGAAATTAGTTTCATTAGGATGTGTATTTGTTTGCACATATGTTGGTACACCAATGCGTCTTATTACATGAACACGATTATGATTTTGCCAAGGTAGGCTTTTGAAAATCAATTCAGTAAGTTCTTTTCTAAACATACGAGCCGAAAGAAAGTACAAAAAAAATGGTGTTGCATAGGAAATATGAAATATAACTCGACAAATAAAATAAATCGAATAGAAACTTGCTGTTGGTTGGTAAATGCTGGGAAAAGATAAAAGTAGTCCGACTGCGCATAATGGTAAATTGAGCAATATTTGAACTCCTACTTGAACCAAAAGCATTCGAGCAAGTTGAGTTTCAGTACGACGATTACTTGACAATATTAAAGTCACCATTTGTTGTAGTTGTACATTATATATCGTCATACAACCAAAGACTAACATAAGAATAGGTGCCAGACAAGAGAAAAGAATGAATTGAAAAATGCCGTATGCTTGAACAAAAACTACATCACCTCGTGTACGACAACCAAGTGTATCGTTAGCATTTATACCAGCCGTTACGAGTGATATGATGAACAAGAATGAAAAAAATATAATAATAATGAAGATCAACCATTTAGCCGTACGGACATTACTGAAATTGCGTCGTTGTATAGATGATGAACTGGCGCACCATCGGTCAATTGAAGCAAATACAATGAAAGATGGTGATAATGCTGATAGAAGAGTACCAAAATAAGTAACAAGTTTACACGAAATTAACGATCGACTACTTAATTTTATTTGATATCCATCACCTAATAGACTTACAATGAGAATAGTGCTGGAATATATTAGATTATTCATTGAAAGTGCAATAAAATAAAGTGAGCACGCATGTTTTCGTATTTTATATTGGCTAAGTACAGCAATGTTCAATATATTACCTATGAAACTTGCACAGACGATCATAGGAAGTCCTATTTTAGTTGTTTGAAGACTTATTTCTCTTAATAAATCAGTCATGTTCTTTGTGATGTAGTGATAGAATGTGTGAATGCTCTTCCATCGCTAAAACTTTGTAATGACAAGAAATATCGTTTTTTTTCTCTTTCTTTTTTCCATTATGAATATTAAATTTCTAAGGAGAATCATGTTTCTATTAATTAAAAAGTCGGTGGCTTCTTAATATTGCTTCCAGTGTTAAGCCAATCTATGAAAGATGAGTCGATGAGCACATAGAATCTTGAGAGAGAATACAGAATGCAATATATTCTCGCCATTTCTATTAATTGTGATACAAGATGGATGTCGTCATTTTAATAAAAAAGATATAAAAGAATAGGTAATCAGAGGAATAACTTTTAAAAACTCAAGCACCGTGTTTTTATTATTATACACGAAGTGAATCGAAGAGAAGAAAGAAAAAATGAGTAACTAACAAGATATTGCTGAAGTTCTAGAGTATTTTTTTTTCCATCGACTTCGTATTTCGTAGTTTCCTCGATCACTTTTTTAACATTAGAGATGAATTTCGAAAAATGAAGAGTGTCCAATAATGAAAATATGATAGTTATTCTTGAATTTCTTCAGTTTATTTTAAGAAAGCATCCAAAAAAAAGAACCAAGGTACTGGTCAAATTTTTTTTAAATTTTTTATATGCGTTCAAAAGGCCATCATTTAAAAGTGCCACACCAAATTTTCAACTCTTTTCGATGTTTTATAGAAAAGTTAGCCTTAATCGATCTTTGAACACTATCTACCTATTATCAAAAACATAATGATTACATATTTCATACATGTGTACTAGAACTATTTTTCCACAAATCAGAGAGTTTTTTTATGCAAATATATCAAAAGATAGATCATCAACCACTGAAAAAAATGAAGGTGCGGATGTTGATATCAGTCTTCTTTCCACATTCACCTTTATGTTCTATAATTCATTATTAGAAATAATATCGAAGTGATTGATAATTCATCATTACACAAGAAGGAAAGACGGATGAAGTACAACTCAAAAAGATCTCAAATAAGATGTGAAAAGTGTCTGTTCATCAAGCATGTGAGTGTAAAGAAAGTTATGAAGAGAAGACTTATATCCACACTCACACTTAATGTTCGACTTGTATGGCTTCTGTTTTCTTCCTTGCTGTGTTATGTAATTGTCGACAATGATCACTATATGTTCTATGTTCGAATTTTGATGATTTGGCTAATCGAGAAAAATTTTGACACAATTTTTGTTAATTTCGAGAATCATGTATGAACTCTTTCTTTTGTGTCTTCCTAGTGTCATCAAGATAAAAGATTTCTGTAGTTACCTTGTTGACATGTTCGACAAATTCGGTATATTTTGATCGATTATTTTCACAAAAATGATTTACGATGTTGATCGTATACATCATGTGGTTTGAAAATTTTTGACAAGTTTGACATGGCACAAATTACAGTTATTTTGACTTTTTTCAGTACTTGTACTGAAATTTAAGTTTCATTCGACAAATATGTAATGTGATTCACTGCAGGTGGACAGATAATATTGCTAGTTGTCTATTGTTGCTGTTCATAAGCTCTTGCATTCACATGGCCCATGCGAAAGAGCAGATCGGTCACTGATACTTTGCTAACAGTTTGTTGTCAATTGAGATAGAATCTATCTGCTATGACAGCAGATTGCTGTTGACCGTCGGTATTCATTAAAGTATAGACAGAGATGATGTTGATATTGATTGGCCTGCACTCTAGTGGAATCATGATTATTTGTTCGTTATTCGCTTCCCATGTCGCACTAATCTTCTTACATATGAATGTGATTTTGGCTGGTTTATTGAGACAGATTGTTATACTGTGAGCCGATTTTATGTCATTCCCATTGGGTATACAAGAATATACCATTACGTAATCACTCACAGTTGAAACGCCAGATATTCCACTCACCGAAGAGCGTTGTTGTAAGTGTGCTTATGCACTGTTTGCGTACTTATTCATTATCCAGTTAGGTTGAATATTCTGTTGATTGGCGGATAAACTATGAGCAAGCCTGAATGGTTACCAGTCGCCGCCTAGGAACACCTTTTACCACTAAAAAGTAACAATGAAACCCTGTGGATGTCCAGTGATATCCATCACCGACCTTGAATATTTATTACGAAGTGCTATGAGATGATTGTAAATGTTGCATAGAAGAAATAAAACTGAAACTCTTCATTACAAAGGAGAAAAAGAGTTCTTTTTATTCAATCATAGATAATATTACATGTGTTTATTATCTTTTGGTTTTTCTAAATCGTCAAGATCAATATCTACACAAAAACAACGTTTGTTGTCGAATAAATGCGATTTAAACCACCATTCGGATTCAGGTAATAAGCCAGGTTGATTATTGATATTGGGTATCATTAATCCGGTACAAATAATTGAAGCATCTGGATGATTAAATTCCATAATGTCTTTATTTTGATCTTTAATAACCCATTCAATAACATTATTGTTGAAATTAGAGGCAATAATAGTATCTTGAGCTCCTAATGTTTCCTGTGCTATTTTTTTAATATTGCTTGGATAGGCGCGACATTCTAATGCAAATTGTATATTTTCATCAGATTTAAAAACTTTCTTTTACTATAATGTTTCAATACGTTTAATTTCAGAATATATTGGATGGCTTACATGTATAATATGGTTGATTACCACGATCTACACCATCATTAAGACCACCATCCTAATATATATGACCTACATCATATATAACATTTCATTCAGGATGTAATCTAATTGTATTACGAATTTTTTCTCTTTTCATTTAATGATGTAATATTACCCATAAATATAAAGAAAATTTTTAATTTGTCCAGCTTTTCTCGTACTTTATCTATCAATGATTTAAATAGAAGCTCAATTTTTTCGACTTTAGAGTCAATGTTCTTGAAAATGTCCATTTCTAGTAAAACACTACTTTTTTATATTTTTCTAATATCGACATCATTTATATCTAAATTCAATATATTACAAATTTTACTTAAAAACTTGTGTAAGACAAATTCATCATAATCTACATCAATAGCAAATTTTAATATTGATAACCTTAATGTATTACCATTGTTAAGAATTTTATCAGAAATAGATATTATCGACATTCGTGTGATATGATAATATTCTTTGCATCCTTTATAAAAGGCTTCTTCTTCGGGTGATGTTGGGTTCATAAGACAAACATTTTTCTTTTTTATCGTAACTTCTCGTTTTCATGTTCTTTTTGTGAAACAAGATCTAAAATAAATGTTGAAGTATAGAAATAAATATTTGAGTTCATCTCTACTCCCTCCTTATCACAGACTATGCCAGATACTTTGTCAACATTTCACTTGCACTCATTCTCTAGCATTACAGTTTGTAACAGACGTTGTTAGTTTTTATAATGAAGTTTAAACACTTAGATATTATACGAGGGTAAGCCAAGAAATCGAATCTTAAATATACAAATTATCGTTGAAATATTTTAATAGACCCGAAATATGATAAACAGCTTGGCCACTTAACGATCCTGGTTCACTCTGTTAGCTTTCGAGACTAACAATTCCTGAGCAAATGATCGAAATCTCAATCTGAAGCTTCATAGCAGAAAGAAGTTATATAGTTACACCATCATGTAACTAATGAAGTAACTCTATACTATTGACCTAAAGGTTCAATTCTAATCGTTGGATCATAGCAGATATCGAAACGAAAAAGAAAATCTCCATTCGATTCGGAGCATGTCCACAAGCAGATATATCTGTATTGCCGTATTTTATCTATGACGTCTGCTGGTTCTTTTTTCGACCGAAACAACTACTTATTTTCGTGTTATAAATTCGTTTTTATGTTGGGTTCATTGGTATATATTCAAACATAATTTATTTACTTATTTAAAACAGAATGCTCAGTATGAAAGTATTCGTTAGCAACGAATTCACAAAAATTGATAATGCTTATGCTTGCATGGTTGATAGTTGATCTACACTGCCGGAACACAAAAATTGACTGAATAGAAAATACGATTTCTAAGCTAAATGGAGTACCTGCTATTAAACAGATAATTAAGATATATACATAACAAAGATTTGACTGAAGTTACTTGACAATTTGTATTTTATTAAATACAATTGCATGTTTCTCTGATGTACGCATATTATTAGACACTTGAGTTTGTTTCTAGCATTAGACTTATTACGCCAATAGGTTGTTGTGAAGATATTTATAATTAAGTCTGATTAAAAATCTAACCAAGTAAATAGTGTTCAAATTTTATTGTACATGTGTTTTCTTTTGTACGTGTATATGTTTAATTTAATTGTTCAAATACCCGTCGTGTTAAACAGCAATATGTTTATATGATTAGTCTCATTTTCATCTTTACCTGGCGCTGCGTAAACAGCCTGTCTTTCCTAAAATACATTCATTATAACGGTTATGTAGCTGCAATTTTTTGTCGATAAACTCTACGATGAGCGCTGATTATTAAGATGTGAGTTATTCTAAAATTTCTCGCGGTAGAATCGAGTTTAATAGACCAATCTTTAGGACAGTGGAAACATCAAATCGTATGACTTCTGGTAAAGAAATCATATATTTATACGGGAAAAAAAAGTTACAATAAGGCACAAATATTGCTCTATATTACTTGTTATAAGAGGTACTACATAAAAGATGTTGAAACAATTTCCCATTGCTTTTTAATTTTAGCGCGTATGAGATATGACTGTGTGAATAAACGATTTTAGTATTAGAATTCTGAGGAAACATATGAGTTTTATGCACTCTCTTTGTGAGTTTTCATTAATAAAATGCTTCTTGAAATAAGTAGTTTATCAATTCCTACGTAAAAGGGCTTGGGTTTTCATTGATTGTATTCTGTATTTGAATCAAAGAATTTTTCATCGGTTTCTTGTCGATTCAGTAAAGGAGTTTAGCTACCATCAAGTCTTTAAGTTTCATCAAGATTAAAATGAATTTAAATCGGTTGTGAATTAGAATCTAGTTACAAACTTATTAATAGATTTTATTCTTAAAAAACGAAAGAATGTGCTGAAAAACACAAATAATTTTGATTTATCTATTTTTCATTATGTAATATTCTCAAATTTCTTACTAAAGTCATCTTAAAATTTTTTATTCCCTAACACAAAAAGTACATTCAGATGTGGAGCTACTTGTGATAATTTTGTTAGAAACGATCATTCAGTGGAATCGCGCATTGGAAAACATTCAATGTGTTTTTTTTTAAATAAATTAACTTGGTCGTTTGCTTTTGTATCTTTCATGAAATACAAAATGACGTTTATATTCAGATTTACACAAGACAAATAGTCGATAAGAATCACAAAAATCTACGGAATTGGATTCCATTTGTTTGATTCATCGAGTACAAGAGCAAAAGGACGAAATATTCTAGATTTGGCTAATGCAAACGTTTGTCGAAGAAAATTATTAACAAAACCAATGCTTCGTTCTTCGGCACATTAATACGGTGAACAGTAGCGCGATAATCAGAGTTATCACAAGCGATGATGCAGTTGACGAGAGCTCGATTCCGTAAAGATCGTAACAGATTTCTGCTCATCACCGCATGCCAAATTCAGGAGACGAGCTTTGAAAGCATAGTCAAACTGACATATCTCGATCGTCATTGACCACAAAGTAAAATGATACTGAAAAAAGAATTCAAACAATAATCAGAATAGCTGCACATAGGCGTCGGTCTCATTGATGATAGAGACGTTAGATGCAATAATTGAGCGCATAATATTATTTATAATGTATGGTTAGCAAGTTTTTCTCGTTCATTTCTTCGTGTCGAACGGAAATGTTTCAAGTTAAAGTGAAGAAACTAAAAAACACATCGACTAATACCAAGAACACATTTACCAAAGTTCAAATCTTCCGGTATTTTAGATTCAATGACATTCTTTTTGTTATTTAAATTGAAATTGAAATACTATGTTTGAAGAACGAGTTTGAACTCTTATCAGATTATTTTGTTCAAATAACCATTATAGCTTTTATTTCTTCTTGCAACACTAACTCGCCGTTGATTTGCAAGCATTGAGCAATGTCAACGTCTTTTTGTAGAGGGGAAAAAATATAGAAATGTGTACAACTATCGGGTGATATGTCAAACAATCATCTTAAATAATTTGTTTTTAATGACACTAACAAATCAGTAAGCATTCTACTCTGTAAAGAAAGACTCTATACAAAATCTATACAGTTTTCAACTAGCTTTCAGAACTGTAGCCAACGTTTTTCTTTATTCATACAATCCTACTAAAAAAGCTAAAACGATTGCTCGTGTCACTATGTCATCTTTTATCCAAAAATTCCATATAAACATGATAAAAGATATTAAGAAAAGCAAAGTTGGTCTTATTTCCATCATCATCAGCTTTGAATGATGTATGTATATTTCAAAGATATTTGAAGACAATATTGTTTTTATTTTTGCATATAAAAGATATTGTAGAAAAATCAAAAGCCATATTTCGATAAATCAAATAGTCTATTTCATCTAGACTTCAATAGTGACTCAAAAAGAAAAATCCATATTTGAAATTTAACATGCAAAATAATTGAAAAATACTAGGTCTTTCGATGAGTGATGAAATTATGTAATGCAAGATTTTTGTTAGCGATAAGAAAGTTATCTTGCTGATCTGAGAAAGAAACACATGCTGTAAGCGAGTTTTCTCATGAGACTTCATAAAACTTTTCTATAAAGGTCATATACTGGCAGAACATTAATATTGTTGACAATTAATATATACTTTAGCTACGTTAAAGCTACGTGTCATGTTCGATGATAAAACCAGTGTTTTTATTCAAAATTCTTGTCGCATATGCTTTTTCGACTAACTAATTTATTTTGCGTGATCATTGATGAACATTCCCGAAGAAATTCATTTGTTTTTCAATTTGATAATGCTGATAGTCTTTATTTATTTTGAAACAAAAATTCAAAACAGTCAAGTTTATTATGAATTTAATCATAATGCATTAACCAATAAATTTTGACATTTCTTTTTCAAGTCTTCTATATTGCTCCGTTGAAGTGTGTTTTTTGCTGAACGGCGAAAATAAATAACATATTCAGGATAAGCTTGACCTGTGTCATATAGAATAAATTCACGATGTTTCAGTCGATCGCCACCATTTTTCATGCTTTCACCCATCACTGAATCATACAATTCTTTACCGTGCGTTTTCTTAGGTGGGCGACGAATAAGTTGTCTATTAGGGCCACATCTATATTTTTCTCTTTTATATTTCAGTACTACATGCACATCACCCAATGCAGCACGATAAAGAACCATTGAAAACTCGAGATCTTCATGATTAATACAACTGCATCCTGAAGTAGTACCTATAGAATTTTGACCACATCCAGGGCAAGGAATATATCGACTTGATTTTGAGGAATTCTCAGTCAAATAGAAACCACCTCCAAATCTGCCTTTTATATTGGAAACACGAGGATCATAACCACTATGTAACAAGTGACATAAATTATTTTGGCTACATCCGTGAAAAAGCCAATATTCGTTCGTTCTTGTATCTAACAGAGGTGTTAATATTGGATAAGCTTCCAAGTAAATCGAACTACCACAATTGGCCAGTTGATCATTATTTTGACGAATGATCATGTCCTAAAATAGACAATGCATATAGATCAATCGATTGAAAGATAGCAATATTCCTCAATTAATTGTTTTGACTTTGAATTGATTTAAAAGCATGGAGTCCTAATGACAAAAATGGAAGTACTTATTAGGATGCATTTCTCTATAATCTACATTAAAAGTAGGCTGGATGTGGATGTGGAAGGAAATGTGAATCTTCTTTTCGACCACATCCACATCCACACCCGCACTCACACCCTCTAAACTAGAAAATATTCAGCTATCATGATGACATAATCTATGGAAAATATGCCAGTATCTTCAAACAAATTTTAAAAATAATAGGAAAAAGAGGACTATCAATAAAACGTGATTAATTTTTCTCATGGGACAAAAATCACTGGAATTGATGAAATGATCGAATTTTATTAAGCTCAATTAGTAGTAGAATTATTAAATAATTTCATTGTTGGCGTATGAAACGCGCTCGCCCAACATCTTATTAAAAAAAAGCCAAAAGAAGTAAAATCTGATTAAAAGAGTGTAAAGACAAATGTAATTTTATTCGATGAAAATTCACCAAAAACGATTAAAGAATTAAAAAATTCCATCAATATTCTGAATAGTGGTATTGAGATAAATGACCGAATCAAGCTGAAAATTTTCAGTGGTTACTAAACTCATTATTTTCTACAAACTATTTTAAAAATCAGGAAATTCCGAGATATCATTCCATCGTTGATGCATTGGAATGGCTGATTTTCTCAAACACTCATTCATAAGAATCTATTGCAAAGGAAAACGCTATGTTTTTTTTTGAAGCTTCTCATGCAAATATGTTATATTTTACACTTTCTTGGCATCAAAACTGTTTGAACTTGACAAGAGAAAAAAATTTCAACTATTATCCTTATGGAAGAGATCATTTGATTTAATAACTTCTTAAATTCTACAAGCATTTTCGAAACCTTATAGAATTTAATTTCACCTTTTTAAAGCAATAAAGATGCCATAATTCGTTATTGTGTATTCGTACTATTCTGTTTATTAAAAATTCCGTTGGATCATGTCCATTAACTGTTCCGTATTGGTTGTCATGTTTTGATATTGTTGAATTCAACAGCTGCTGGATAATATCAAATTCGAGTGATCGAGCCGATACTTCGATTTCACGATAAGGCTCTTCAAATGCATTCAGACCCCAATATACTGGAGTTTGTCTTGGAATAGTCAAGATTTGTTTCCGTTCTAATTCACGTTGTTCACGATGATCTATTTCTTCTCCAAGTGCTATTTCTAATTGTTGATTATATGTAACCATTTTATTTAGATCTTGACGCAATTTTGCAACTTCTTCTTCTTTCAGTTGTAAATGAGCGATCAAGCTTTCTACTTTATTCTGCACGAGTTCAATGAAATGAAGTTCGGATTTCTTCTGTTCTTCAAGTTGTTTTTTTAGTTTGAGCTCGCGTTCAGTAGCAAGGCTACACGTGGATTCCATCGAAGAAGAACTATCATTGCTAACAGTAGGGATGCCAACGTCGCCAATCTCAGAGGGTTTTTTCTGTCTTTTAAAGCCCGGTGGATGTGAATAACGGTCAAAATGATTAGGATTTGTTCTATCACATGACAAACCATATTTACAGTGTGAAAGCATAGTTTGTGATGATGTTTGAACTGATACTGGTTGAGAATTTGTAGCTATTTCATTCTGACTGCATTTATTATTGCTATCAGTTGTTTCATGACAGGTAGGCTTTTGAACAGCAGATAAACTATTTTCATTTGGAGTTACACTATTTTGATGGTATTGTTTATTTAGAAAACAGTCACGACATATATTCGGCTTAAATACACTTGGATTAAAATTAATACAGCGTTCAGCCATCTAAAAAGCAAAACTAAAAAGTAGACTTACCTCTGAAATAAAATTCTTCTGTAAAAGTAATGGATTCATTTTTTTTTGTTAGAAAATATGCGTGAGCAAGGGGAAATGATTATTTAATATCATGCGTGGAAAAAAGGACTACAGGTTAGTACGAAGCTATGGCAATGAGAATGGTGAAATATCTAGTCTTTCTTTTTTTTTGGTCCATCGTACAAATGTAGCGACTACTGTTGAATCATATCGGTCATATCTATGTTCATATTAAACTAGAAACCACGCGAGTAATGTCTGTAGTAGGAAATATTTTAAAATATCGAGTACAAACCGTGTATAATGATATCATCTGTCTTATTGTACGAGCACCTTGGAACTGATCAGATATATACATCGCTTATTGAATTTCCAATGGCTCTTAAAAATACACTAAAAAATGAATTACAGTTTCCGTTGTGGCTGTCGATTTCAGCAATAACCTTGAAACATTCTGACATTGATTGATGTTCAAGTGAACTAATGTTTCTTCATAATTCCAATACTTGTTTGAAATATAGCATATCATCATAATCATCATTGTAAAGTTACAATTTTTCTTGTAACGTCAGAATATTTTTTTTCATACTTGAATGTTATCGAAATCTAATTAACGTTGTTTGACACTAATCAGATGCACAAACATAATTATTATTTTTAATGTGAGCATCAACAATTGGTGAAAGGAATCTGATTACTTGCTAATGGTCACAGGACACTGTTTCTTGGTAGATTTGAAGTACGTTCCTAAAATAACCAAGTGCATGATCGTATCATTTGTTCTTACTAAAGCCTACATCAATATGGGACAGTGTGCTAAGAACATACACATAAAAGAGAACATGGATTTTTAAATAATATAATTATAAATATTCGTTGAGCAACAATAACATATATTCTCTAGTTATTATTACTGATGACGTAATGGATCGTGATATAGGTATTGTTATTAACATCGATTGTGGATTATTTGTTCTGATGATGATCGTATACAAAGACAGAAAATTTAGCAGATGTTAATACATAAACAAAAATAAAAAGAACTTCTACCTTTTTTACTATCATCCTTAAACTAATGATTAAAAGAGGATGAAACATAGTTTCAATAATCAACTTTTCATATTCATTTTTGATATTCTCGTCAGTGTTTCGTTCTTTGCAGACAATTTATCATTTTAACTTTTCAGATCTTATTCACTAAAATTTGCTTATTGCATTCTTGAAAACTTTTCTTCTACTTCTGCAACAATACCAGATATAGAAGTTCGACATAAGCTATAAACGTTTACAAATAATTACCTTAACAAACTCCACCAATCTGATAAACCAGTTAGTGAAAGTATGGAATTGAAAAGTGTTTAGCATGTGTGTCGATTTTTCTTCATAAAAAAACTCACTATCACTTCCACACCATCAATTTCAGACTCATCCTCAGCTTTTTATAGAGGTATCCAAATTCTGTACCATTTATCAGAGATTGAAACGAATGAAAAAAAAAAGAATCTTCTTTTTCACTCGATTCAATTCAACTCATGTTCTTACAGAAAAAATATATTTTTATTTTCACATAAATTACCCACGACTCGCTTTCTACTGCTCTTTTCTGAGTAAGCTATTTTGTTTTTCTATCTGACCGTCTCAGTTACTTTTCTATATTTGATTTAGTCATAAATACTCAAAGCTCATGTATTTGCTTAAAACAAAAAGTATACTACGAAGCAGCTTTTACACAGTAAAATGACCCATCAAAGGTTCGATATAAATGAACTAGAGAATAATGATATACGTAATTGACGCTTCAAAGATCGGAATTGTATGCAATAAGTGGATCTGTCAAAGTTGGACAAGCGAAAATGGGTCGCTCTGAAAATAATCCGAAAAATATTGCAATTAAAAATAATGCTTTGCTAGAGAAAAAAAACTTCATTTTAAAGGAATAAGTTAGACGAATACAAAAAAATAATAGGCAGAAATCACTTTGCAATCTGGATATGATAACAAATATGCATTTCTTCTTTTAAACGAGTATATCGTTACAAATTATGATTTTTTTTATTGAACGCTCCAAACCAAAAGCTTGTTATGAGATTTTATGCATACAGCAATTGGAAAATCTTTCAACCTATCAAAAAATATTTAAACTATTGTATACTTCTGCATAATTTTAGTAAATATTCGTGAGTAGCACCTCTGTTTACAACAAAACTTATTTTCATCAATCAAATGAATCTTAATATGATCAATATTACGACGAAAGAAAGAGTGGAATTTAGATTCTTGTGTAGTGAGAACATATCTTCGGATGAAGTTTTCACCGAATTACGAAGTCTATAAAACTGCTTCCAAAGTATTGTTACTGTCACTTTTTTCCTTTCGTTGTTACCTTCTTGCTTATACGGCTGAGACAACTTCATTATTGTTTATAGAACCTAACTAAAAGAGTGAATAGATTACCAGTAATTTGTGAGGTATTTTATAGTTTATTCAATACTGGAAAAATAGCTACTCATATATTTTAAATACGCTATGAATTGTATCAATTTTTCAAACGGCTATAACATGAAAATGAAAAAGTTCAATGCTAATAAAACACGGTCAGCAACAATTTAGTAGCTGATGAGCAGTAGACTTCGTTTGATGAGAACTCAAATAACACAAAGAGATTTGTCACAGTCAAGAATCGGTAGAAAATAAAATTGCTTACTTTGTACAATGTTATTGTCAATGAAAACAATCACGTGCATATAATGCATTTGTAACAGCTATGATGCACATACTGAAAGAAAGACGAAATTTAGTAGAGAGAACAAGAAAAAAATAGGGACAGTAGAAAGAAAGAAAAAAAGAAAGACAATGACGCGGTGAAAATTGAAAGAAAAAAAGAGCACATTTGACTATGTTGCATAAGACTCAACTCGTTCATTTCTGGCAAAGACACTATCCATTTCAGACGGTTGTTGTTCTGCACTCAAACAGCGTCAATTGATGAATACATTCATACATAATTTTAACTGATACAATTTGGCGGCAAGATACTGACAGATCAAAATTAACACAAATTCATGGCAAGTTACTTGACACAACTTACTTCTGTTGTTCGAAAGGAATAGATTTCTTCAGATATTGATTAGTTGTTGCACTGTCGACTTGGTCCTATTGAAACTGAGATAGATGCTTAGTTCGTGTTAATTTGTGCAACACTTCTATAACCTTCACTATTGCTCAGTGGCTACTATTGCTTCGGAGATATTAAGTTTTCAGGTTATTTTTAGGTTTATAGTCCTAATAGAATCGAGTTGCAATTGTCGGATCTGGATCGATTGTCGCATTATTAGTGCATTTCAAGGATGGATATATTGGAGAAAGTCATTGAAATCAGCGAACATGTTCGGATTCTGTAACTAAAAACGAAAAGATTCTCTCACAATGGTGCGTCGAAATTTCTGACCTATACTCACTATTAGTATGATTCGTACACTAGTTGCTAAGTATTCAATATATATTGGTCAGGATATGACTGAGATGGATTATTTTGAACACTAATCGTGTTGTATTCGACTCGTTGGACATGAATTGAAGACATGAATTGCAACTGTGAAACGTGAATGTGTACTTCATAGCAAAGAAAAATGGTATCCAATCAAAACAAAAATGCAATTGCTCTCGATAAATGTCTAAAGGTGAATGGAGCGCCTGCTAAATCGTCTTTATATCGGTTATTTACTATACTCTTACTTTGCATTAGGTTCGCACCAGTTCAGCTGGTACCACTTGGACTGGAGCCCAGGTATTTGAGGCTGGCGCATACGTATACTTAACTGTAATGAGTGTCATAGTTTATGGATCCTTCTTCATTCGCAATAGTCAATGCTAGAATAATATCTATATCATTTGAAAATAATCTAAATAATCCGGCTGATAGTTTCAATTAATGCAAGGAAATTTTTGTTAATTATTTTAAGGTGATCTGAAAAAAGTATAAAAATACTTGGCACATATTTTTCAACTTGTTTTGGATAATAATACCTTGTCTCTTTGTTGTTTTTGCTCTGCTATAGTTGTTTGAATGTATAGGACAGGGATAACAGATCGGTGTCCGTGTTCGAATAGCATTGTTTTCAAATTTATCATTCATTTTGGTGTTCAAATGAGATCAATGAAAAGAATACGACAGGAAAAATAGAGCAAACTCTAGAGACGTGAAAAACTGTGAATATGTTTTAATCAGTTCATACGATTTATTCTACATTATTATACTACTAGCGAGAACCCGTGCATACTGCACGGTCTTTTTTATCAATGAAAGTAGTCTTTTCTTTAGGATAAGGGGTTCTCAGAGATACAATCCAAATTTTTATTTCTGTTTTATAAAAACAGCTTATTTAATTAATTTTCATTTTATTTTAAAACAACAAATTTACAAAACTTCTTTAAAAACAATGTTTCTAGTTCTATTTTTTCCACTGTCTTTTTCTTTGATGAGTTGTACCTTGATAGATGTTAGGGAACGAACTCTGGAAAAAGCAACGTACAGT